CTGTCCACTTTCAGATTCCCATGAAGCTAGTGGGTCCTCAACGCCTCGACATCAGCAAGCCTCACCTGCCTCAGGTTCTTTTCATCCAGGATTGCCTACTCCGTCCCTGATCTCTCCCTTGCCAGGCCGAGCTACTACACCCTCTTCAAAATATCAACAACAGACTTCTCCCATCCATAGTACATTTACTGCTTCCAGTGTAATTAGCCCTGGTCCTCTGCGAAACTATTCCGACTACCTTTCTCCTAGCACTATCAGTATCCACGATACGGGATCTGGTGACTTCGAGCCTCTGAGCCAAACTGGGGGTCTTGCAAATGGTGAGACAGGTAATTCAACTACCAATCTGCCATGGCCCAATTCCACTGTGACTTCAACTTCACCTGCTAGTTCATCGCTCCTTTGCTCTATTGCTCAATCTAACTCTGTGGCCGCTATGACTCCGGGCTTTGAGACAAATATGACAGTGACCCCAGTGGCAGCAACAGGCGTCGGCTCGCCTTCAGCTATTTTCTGCGCTCCTACTTCTAGCCACATTTTCTTGTTGCCTGCACAAGTTTCCGGACCTCCAGCGTCAACTGATCATGTCACTGGAGAGCTCGAGGACTCCGGGCTCTCTCATATCACTATCACTTCAACCCCATCTGCTTCGACAATGGTAACCACGACCACCACTTCGGGACTGGTTGCATCTTCCTCCGTAGCATCGTCTTCAGTCGGCCCTCTAACCCCCAAAGTTATCTTGCCGCGAGATGAACATATACCGAGACTAGTGAGTCTGCCAGGTCCAACATCACTAGCAGCACTGCTTCCCTCACCCCTTACTTCATCTGGCCCAGCCATTGATTCTGCTGTGTCTATTATGATTCGGCCACTTTTGTCTGCTGCTTGTGGGGCCAATGGACTGCCGACATCGTCAGATAAATGCCTCTTGGCCGACTTAGACTCATGTTCTGTGTATCTAGATGATAAGCAGTTGACGCGACAGCCTCAGCAATCACATCATCTTTCAGTCCAGCACCAGAAAAAACAACAGCAACAACAGATGCTACCTTTAAAGTCACCTCCATCCGATAGTACGACTTCAGGTATTCCCCTCTTCGTGCAACTGGCACCTGCTGCTAATTCTCAGAATCCAGCGCTCGTGTTCCCTGGAATTAGCCTCCAGCCAGGGCCTCAAGATATCCAAGGTCATTCTGCTGTTAAGCTAACCACTTTATCCACCTGCCACCGTCCCGCATCCACTGGTCTAGACCAACTGCTCTCAATGCCAACGGCCCTACATTCAGGTCTACCCGCTTTTTCTATATCCTCATCTTCATCATCGTCTTCATCATCCCTATCTTCCTCTTCATCCTCGAATGAGCTTTTGTTGCTTGCACCCAAGTCCTCGAATACAGTTTCTACAGATGTGGTGGCTTGTCAACCTTCATCTGTGTTAGAGGCGAATGGACCTACCACTGTTTATAGCAACGGCGTGAGTATCAACAATCTTCCGATTTCAGCTTCTCCTGCTCCTGATGATCTTAGCTGTTTAGCTCCTCCACTCCGTCCATTGAGTCAGTCGCAATTAGTCCTTGCCTCAAGGAACATGAGTACAACTTCAGCTATCGCCTCTACTGCTGTGGCCACCATAGCCACTCTCAGTACTTCCATGCTTCCAGGTTCCTTGACCTCTCCCTCTCGGACTACCTTGTCTACATTCGCCTCCTCCCCAGCTCTCACTTCTATCTCTCCCTCTTCTTCGTCTCTTCCTTTATCTGGAGTTATCGGTATTACACCGCACCCACCGCCTTCAGGCTCTATTGCTGGACTAGTTTCATCCAACGTGGCATCGACCAGCACATCTATTGGCAGCAGCAGAACTAGCAACACCAACTCAACTTCTTCCATCACTTCAGGTACCAGTACAACTGTTGGGCTCTCCTCCCCTTCTTTATCTACAGGACTCAACTCTACATTGGTGAGTGTAATGACGGGCGCTGCTACGACTGCTGCTACCGCTTCTTTGCCTGCCACCACGGCATCCTCTTGTCTTGGCCTCACGTGTGCAGTCACTACCTCCAAGTTGCCACTCTCACCAGCCTCTGTGGTCACGAACGGAGCAGGAGCTGGCATTGGAGGAAGTTCTGGAAGTGGAATCACAGCTACTGCTGCTCCAACAACACGACGCGCCTTCTTTGTGGATGGCAACAGTCTATCCGAGACAGTAGCCTTGTTGCAAAGCATGAATCCAAAGGCGACTGTCACGCAGCAGCAATTTCTGCTGATTCCTACATCAAACAAGTCACACGTTGTTCTCTGTCCCCAACCCCCTACTGCTGCACTAACTAGTATCAGCCCTCAGAAACTCGCTGCTGCTGCTGCAGCCTCTGCGATGGGAGCAAACTCTAGCACTATTCTGTCGGCGCCTGCGACCAGTGAATCTGATAAGCTGACAAGCGGGCTTGTTGCCCAGTCGCGCCGAACTGCAGCCTCCATCCCCGCCTCTGGGGAAGGACACAAATTATTACAGCTTGTCATGACCAAGTCGGAAAGTGCACTTGAAACACTTGTCGGTCTGGCTGGCTGTGAAACATCCGTCGTCAATGCTAGCACGGTAATCGGCAGCCAAAACTTGCTGTCCACTAGTATCAACACCAATACTCTAGCTAATACAAATAACACCGCTATAGGGAATATCAGCAAAGGAGTGTCTAGATTGACTGCTCCTGACCACAATAACTTATCAATCGGCGGCTCTGGAGACACAAGGACAGCTGTCTCACTTTCTCTTGTTAATGGAACCTCTGTTAATTCGCTAGCTGTTTCTGCATCTTCTATATTGTCTTCCTCTACTTCCTGTCCTGTATCTTCCGCCTTGTCGGCATCTTCGTTAGTGCATCAGAGTCTTGCTAACTCCACGGCTTCCACTATCAATACCAACTCCTTCATGTCGAATTCCGCCTCTCAATCGGCTCGATGCGCTCCTAAGCCAACATTTGTTTCAGAATCTATGCCAGGACTCGCCACTTTACTCCCTATAGGGCCTGTGACCGTTCGGCAGCAAAAACAAGCTCTTCTCCCCGGATTCTCTGCGGGTACTTCTATTCATAGTTCATCAACTCTTACACCAACCCCAATCACGATTACGAGTTCAGGCACCTCGACTCCCAGTTTTGTGACCAGTCACTCGACTGGCTGCTTAAGTAACTTCGTTTCCTTAGCACCAAAAACCCTTGCACCTTCCTTGCATCCGAATGGGCTTCATGCAGTGTTGGCCTCCAATACTGGTCCGCCTCTTCAGCATCATCAACAACAACAGCCTCACCATAATATACTTCGAACCAGCCAACATCAGCAAGCACAACAACCCCAGCACCACAATCACCTTGTGTCAACTCTTGTGCCCGTCTCTGAGATGCCTACGCCAGTAGGCTGTGTCTCTGGGCCAAGCTTCGTGACTAGTTCTGGCCTGCCCGCTTCATTTATCTTCGGCGGTTTGCCTAACGGTTTGGTCTCTGGCAGTGTAATGGAAGCCACTGCCCTACCGACCGGTCTTACTGCTACCTCTGCTGTTACAAGCACTATTAGTTGTAGCAATAGTGGCAATAATAATAGCAGCTGCAGCAATGGCTCAAACACATCTTCAATCGGCCATGCTCCTCTGGGCAGTGTTTTTTTGACGCCAGCTCTTTCAAATCCACCACTGAGTGCAGTCGTGGCTTCTGCGAACGGTAACGCTGCGTCTGGAGGGGGTCTTCTGGCCAGCTCTCTCGTCTCGGCTTCGCTGCACACCGCTGGCACAACCCAATTCTCTACGCTTTCTGCCAACCATCATCCCCACCATGGTCAACAACAGTCCGTCCAACATGTCCAGCCACAGCAGCAGATGCATCAAACATTTTCTCATCGGCCTTTCATAATGCATCAAGCCTCTGCACAGACAATGTTTACTTCTGCTAGCACCTCAGCCACCCCTACCCTATCTGGCCCTTCTGTATGCACCGGAGCAGGCGCTGTCTCACGTTCGCTTTCTTCGTCTGGCCTCCTCTCGGTGGCCTGTTCGACTCCATCTTTGATCGCCCCGCGGCCACCCACCGTGACCACTAATGGAATTGTCTCAAGCGCAGGAAATGGGGGCCTTGTATTTTCCTCCCCTACCTTATTGACCGCCAGCTCGAGTCACTTACAGGCAATCGGTACACTTTCCCCTCCCTCCCTTGCTGGCACCGCTACTATGGCCACTCCCATCACCACCAGTGGAACTACGATCGTCTCCAGCCTTCTCCCTCCTCTTCCTCAGCCTACAGTAGCTATTTCAGAGACCGTCTCCTTAACCGGTCTCTTAGAAGCTTCGCCAGCCCAGTTGGCGGGTCGACAACGCCCATTTGGTGGTTCGGGTTGTGTTCCTCGCCGTCTAGTTTCTAACGCCTCCCGAGTTGTCACTGCTACCACAGCTAATCAACCCGCAGCGCCACAGCCGGGATCAGCTGCAGTGACGCTTGTCACCGCCGGTCTCCCATCGGCCTGCCTCTCGAAACCAGTTAGCCTGCAATACGCACAGCAGCAGCATCAGCAACAACAACCGCATCTTAACAACTCGAGTCAACAGTTTGTGACTGGCAGTTTGGCCTTTGCTACTCATCCGATCTTTCATCCCCACCACCATCAGCAGCAACAACAGCACATATCACACCCATTGCAACATCAGCCTAGTCAACAAATTTCAGGCCAGCCACATCAACATTTAGCGCAACAATACCAGCATCAGCACCAGACTCACCCACAAGCTACTGCTTCTCTGATCGCAACGAACACCGAATCAACGGGTCCTGGCTTTCCTACTCATGTTTCGTTGCCTCATGGCACGACCACACACTACTTGACCGCGACTGCACCGGGAACAGCACAATTTTTAGCCGCATCCTCTATTTCACAACTTCCATCTGGGACATCAACTCTAACTACAACAGCAACAACACAATCGCAACAACCGCCTCTAATCTCACCTGTCTCTTCCTCCCCCTCCGATTCTGCTCTCTCGGCCTTCATGCAGACAGGTTGTCCTCTCACTGTTTCTGGGCCAACGACATTCTTATTGGCAAGTGGCCCGTCTCCCGCCGGCCTTTTTACCACCGCCTCCCTTGCGACGGATACTCAGCATACTCTTTCTTCAGGAGCCCATCTTAGACTATCCCAGCATCAGCAGCAATCTCAAGCCCAGCATCAACAACAATCTCAAGCCCAGCATCAACTTGTAAGTTGGTTTCTCGTATGCGTTTTTCGTTCTTAGATTTAACGTTAAGGTGTGTTAACGATAAATTATTATGGATCGTAAATTTCTGCTTGTATGTGCACCTTAGCTTCATGAGATTGCTTTCTAACTTAGGCCCTAATAGATATTCTAATACATATACCAGTTTTGAGTACTTACTACCTTTCCCTTAGCTTATGATGCCATTTTACTGCGCGTGTATTCGTTGCATATTATGGTGACTATAATAACTGTATATAATATTTTTTTATATATGCATACGC